TTCATAGATAGGATTGGTTTTACCTAAGGCAAGATAAATCTTTACAGTGTAGGATAACAGATATAAAGCTGGAAGGTACCTCCTTGACTCTCTAGTCCAACCACTTCATTGTATAGATAAGGAAACTGAGGCCAAGTGGGATTGAATTTTTTACAAGATCACACAGGGAGTAAAGTTCTATCTCACTTTTGAAAGATGCCTGATAAACTGAGGATACCTTTGGGCAAATAACACTCATGGTTGTATTATATAAATGGCAATATCAAGGGTTCATATATATCCCAGAGCAATTGAAACTTGAAAAATCAGTCATCATACTTGACAAGTATAATTAAGCTCTCCATAATCTGGCTCCCACTTATCTGTCCAGTCTTACTTCTCTTTCACATATACTCTATTCCAGTCAAATTGTGTTTCCCATATCTGGAATGCACTCCCAATTTGCTTCCACCTTATAAAATCTCTAGCTTCATTTAAGGATAAGCTCAGGTGGCACCCTTTCCTTACAAGAAGTCTTTCTTGAACCCCTTCAGTAGTAATGCTTTCTCCCTCTTGAAATTTGTTTGTATCACTGTATTTTGTATGTGTGTAGACTATTAAGTTTCTCAAAGGCAAGTATTCATTTTTTTCCTTTTATCTCTAGCACTTGGGTGGCACAATGGCTAGAACATTGGGCCTGGAGTCAGAAAGACCTGAGTTCAAATCTGTCCTCAGACACTGGCTGTGTGACCCTGGGCAAATCACTTAACTCTGTTACCTTATCTGTAAAATGAGCTGGAGAAGGACATGGCAAAACCACTCCAACATTTTGCCAAGAAAACCCCAAATGTGGTCATGAAGAGTTGAACACAACTGAAAGGACTGAACAACAATAACTTAATACATTACCTTGTATACCATAGGGATTTAATAGCTGTTGAATTGAGTTGTGTACACAGAAAGATTGCTTCCAGTTTGCAATATAAAGCTCATTTTGCTTTTCTTGTAGCACTCATCATAGTACATTTTAATAAATTTCCAAGATTTATTTTTGCTTCAGCCCTTTAGACTGGCTTTTCATCAATTTGGTCTAGTTTCCTGCTAATTTTTAGTTTTATTAATTACTGTTTTTGCCCCCCTTCCAGCCCCATTTCAACTCTTTGCACGCTTCTCACAAGGCAGCTTTCAAGCCAGCTTCCTGATTTCAGTAACATATCATTATGTAAACATAGTCATAGAATTATATAATGAATTAATTCACTTCCTTTTTGGGGCATTTGCAACCTCTCATAGTAAATTTATTTTCACTTTCATTTTGGTATTAGAGTTCAGGCTACTGAAATGCTTTGGTGTTATTAGGATTATCCAGCAGCTGAAGGAAATAACACCATACCAGAGCTTGCCAAAAGTTTTCTTTAAATTCAACTTAGTTAAAAGTAAATTACCTGTAACTTGTTAATACAAAGCAAAAAAGCATAAAATGTGATAAGGATAAACTACAGACAATTTTATTTCGAAACTGAAAACCTGATTGTGCCTCACTTGATAAATAAGAGAAAGTGCTTAATGGAACTCGAAGTCCAACTTTTTCCATTGACAAACAGAAAATTGGCATTAGTGAATGTATAAATAGGGAAAGCTAACTTGATTTTTTTTAATGAAAGTTTTGCTTATAACAGTTGGAAAAACTCTGGACAGCAAATCAGGAGACAGCTTCCAGTCACAACTTTGAAAACCAACTAACTCCATGGCTTTGGACAGGCCACTTAACATTGCTGGACTCGCTTTTCTAGTTTGCCAAATGAGTGGATGGGACTAGATGATCTCTGAGATCACAGAATGAGAGAATCACAGAATCTGAGAGTTAGAAGGGACCTTGGTAACCATCTGGTCCAATGTATACCTGAAAGGAATCTCCACTACACCATACCTGACAAGTGGTCATCCAGTCCTCTGCCTGAAGACCTTCAAGGAGAGGAAGCTGCCATCACTCAAGGTAACCCATTTCACTTTTTGGACAAGTCTAATTATTAGCAAGTTAATCAAGATATTGGGGCTAAATCTGCCTCTTTGCTATTTCTATCCACTGTTCCTCGTTTTGTCCTCTGAATGCAATCAGTCTATTCCTTTCCTATGTGACAACCCTTCAGATTCTTGAAGACAGTCTTCATGTCTCTTCCTGAGACTTCTCTTCTCCATGCTTAACAGTTCCTTCAACTGACCTCCAGATGTTATGGACTCAAGATCCTTTGCCAGTCTGGCAGCTCTGGACACTTCTCCTGCTTATCAGTGTCTTTCTTAAACTGAGGTCCCCCAGAATTGTACATAAAACTCTAGATGAGGTCTGATGAGGGCAGAAAACAGTGAGGAAGTCACTTCCCTATTCCTGGAGCTGTGTCCCTCAATGTAACCCAAGATGATATTAGCTATTTTAACTTCCATATCATATTCCTGACTCATTCTGAGCCTCCAACACTTTTTCACAATAACTGTCATCTAATCAAGCTGTTCTCATCCTGTTCTGGTGAAGGTTTTTCTCTTTGTTTGTTTGGTTTTGTACACAAGTGTAAGAATCTACACTTGTCATTATTGGATTTCATCTTCTTAGATTCATCACTGTACTTTACTCTGTCAATATCTTTTTGGATCCTATCTGATTTTGTGTCATTTGCAAATTTGGTGAGCATGCTATCTATAACTTTATCCAAATCATTGAAAAATTTTATTTTGTTTTAAGACTAGGTCTCTATTTTGTCCAAGCTGGAAGTTCAGGAGCTACTTATAGACCTGATCCCTCCACTGACTGTTATGAAAGCTTTGACTTGTTCTGTTTGCAATGTGGATTGGTTTGCCCCTCCTTAGGCAACTTCTGGGAGCTCACAATATTAATGCCAAACTTAGTACAAACACCAAACTGGCATAGTCCCCTGCAGTTTAGAACTCCTGACTTCGAGACATCCACCAGCCTCAACCACAATTGGAATTACATGACCAGATACTGATAAAAATGTTAAACAGGACAGGGCCAAGCACAGATACTCAGGGTTCTCCATTGGAGACCTCCTGTTAAGTTGACATTGAATTATTAACAACTCCTCTTTGAATCCAGCCACCCAGTTCTGAATCCATCTCATTGTATCATCGTCTAATTCATATCTGTTTTCATTTCCAGCTCTAATGCTGTAGGAATTTAACCCAAATTTCTGAGTCAGGGATTTGGAACTGGGCATTATAAAGCTATAAGTAAGCTCTCTGTGCGTTTATTTGGGTATAGGCAGAAGTTTGTTTTCGATTTCATGGTTTCAGTGACACAATGTACCATTGTAGAGCTAGAGGAGGAAAAATTATGTTATGTTTTAATTTAATTATGGCCTTAAGCCCATGCCTTATAAGGACCAGGATGAAGGAACCAGGGATGATTAGCTTAGAAAACATAAATTAGTGGGGGCTTAATAGCTGTGTTCAAATATTTGAAAGGCTGTCTTGTGGAAGAGATATTTGGCATATTCATCTTGGTCTCAGAGGAAGGAACTGGGAGAAATGAGTAGAATTAAATTTTGATTTGATATTAGGAATAACTTCTTTTAACAATTAGAGTTATCCAAAAGTGAAAGGGGCTATTTAACTGGAAGTCTTCCAGCAGAGCTCAGATGACTACTTTTAGGGTCTGTTGTGGTAAGGATTCATTTTGGGGTATGGATTGTACCAGATGGCAATTAAGGTCCCTTTCAATTCTAATATTTAGTGATTCTGTGAATTATTGCAACAAATATTAAGTAACTTCTAGATTTAAGGCATTGTTCTAGGTGTCAAGTTTCAAAAATGAAAAGCAATATATACATATATATGACCTTACATATTGCTTAATATGTGGTCAGTGACTAGGGAGAAGTTCAGTAGTGTGATGTAGCAACCAGAAAGTGTGATGTCATCTTGTACTATATTAAGAGGGGCGCACCTTCCAAGAATAGGGAGATGATATTCTCATGGCATTCTGGCCTCATCAAACCAATTGTGAGTTCAGTTCTGAGTACCAAGGCTTAAGGAGGACATTGATAAGTGGGAGAGTATCCAGATAGGGCAACCAGGACGGTAAAGGACCTTGAGTCCATAACATAGGAGGATGAGATGAAGGAACTGGGCATGTTTAGCCTGGAAAAGAGAGGACTTGGGGAACATGACAGTTGTCTTCAAGCATTTAAAGGGCTACCCTGTAGGAGAAGGGCTGCAATTGTTCTGTTGTGCTTATGAGAGCAGAACCAGGGTCAGTAGGTAGAAGTTGCAAAGAGGTCAATTTTTCCCCTAATGTCAGGAATAACTTCCTAACAATTAGAGTTTTCTAAAAGTGTAATGCGGTGATGCCAGCATCAGGCAGGGAGGGTTGTAACTGCCCCAAAGGCTCCAATGCCTGCCCTCTGCCCTCTGTGCTTTTCCTGGGACCTGTCCCAACTTGTCTATCCCAGGATCTCTGTAGGACTCTAGAGATTCCTTTGTAGATTCTGAGGTTTGCTGGGGGAGTCTAGAGGTATTTCTCTTTGTACAGTTGTGAATCTCTAAGCTATAATGGAGAGTTGAGGAAGGGGGTGGAGTAGAGGGAGGAGGGATCTGGGATCCTTGGCATCTGAGTATGCTACCATCTTTCCCAAATCTGGTAAATGTACTTTGTAAGGGGGCTTGTTGCAGTGTTAGTTGGGAAGTCCTTGTTGAGTAAAATCAAATATATCAATTGGAAAACTAATTACAGTATCTGAGTGCATGTGTGATATCACTCCATAGACCCTTGAAACCTGCTGTTAGCCAAGTTGTTCCTCCAGGAGTGAATATAAATGGATGTAAGTTTGTGGGAGGATGACAAGAAAGCTCAGTTGAATCCCAAACCACATGGTGATTCATACTATCTGTAGGAATACAATTAAAATTGGAAGGACTCAGTCTAGGGGCTTCCACCCAGTAGATTGGACTCTACTAATAGATCTCAAACACTCATCTGATTGATATCCAAGTTTTTTTTTTTTTGGTAAGAAAATGTTTATTTTCCATCAGCATTTTTCCAACAGTATTAGAAAATCTGGGGTAAAACTTAAGACCACTCTGTGGTAGTTCCTACCCACTCAGTGGCCTGAGCAGTAGGAGCCACAGACCAGTCCTCAGTAGCCAGCTGAACACTCTAGTCTTCAGTAGGGAACTGCTGAATGGGCACAGATGGCACCTGTATTCCCTCAGAGCAATCAGCCATCCCTGGTTGAGTAGCAGTGAATTCTGGGGCAGGTGTAGTCCATTCACCCTGAAACTCCTTTGTCACTGTCTTCTCAGCTGCGGCCTGCTCTTCCTTTTCAATCTCCTCTGGATCCCTGTAAAAGCAAAGATCGGGCATTACCTCCCATGGATGTTCACGGGAGATGGTACCACGCATAAGTAGGACTTCACAGGCCAGCATCCACCACATCAGATCCACCGAGTGAGCTCCCTTGTTATTCCATGGAATGGCGATGTCCACATAGTGAAGTGGGGAGTCTGTGTCGCACAATGCAATGATTGGAAGGTTAACATACAGTGCTTCAGTCAGAGGCTGGTGATCTGCCCGAGGATCAGTGACCGCTAAGAGGCAAAGGTCCCTGAAAGCTGCCTGGATCTGGCTGGTGAAAGTGCCTGGTGTGAAACGTCCAGCAGTAGGTGTGGCGCCAGTGGCAGCAGCAAATTTCAGAACAGCACGCTGGCCAGTGTTCCTGGATGAGATGACACTAACATCAGCTGGATTTTTAATGGCAACAATGGCACAGGATGCCAGCAGAAGCTTTTCCCAAGTGCTCTTCAAATTGATGATGTAGAAGCCATCACTCTTTCTTTTGTAGATATACTGTTCCATCTGGAAGTCCAAATTGGTGCCACCCAAATGGCTTCCTGCAGCAAGGAATTTGATGACATCCTCCTTTTTCATCTGCAAGATATCTAGGGCTCCAGACATGGTGAAAGGTTCCCTTTAAAGTTAGGAGGGAAACCAAAAACAATGCCATGTGGAACCTTCTTCAGGACAGTGCGGAAAGGGCCTGAGTCTTTTATCAATACCAAATATTCTGCTCTCCCCAAAGTCCCTGCCAATCTTCTAGAATTTTTGGAGGAGAGAAGAGGGCAAAGGAAGGACTTTAGTTAAGTAGGAAAAAAAAACCCCACTGATTCGCCCAGTTCTAAATCTAGAGTCCTGTGACATAACTTGTCTTCATGGCTGCCGTTAGCAGAAATCACAGGCGTCAGTAGAACCCTGGCTTACTCTGGCTGCCCAGTCTAGTTATGTAGCATACCTTAAACTAGGGCAAAGAACAGGCAGCCTCTGCCCTGCTGCCAAGAGTTATAACCCTGGTGTGCTCTTTGTAGGCCCTCCCAGTTCATAAGGGCATTGATCTTGGCTTGTCCACTTGAAAGTTGCTCTTTGTCTATCACCTCCCACCTACCCTGTACTTTTGGACAATGATACTTAGACTGACTACTTGAAACCTGCTACCTGTCTGTTCCTTGTGGTTTGTGCTGAACTCCTGGATAATTAGCTTGGGAGTGCCTACTTAGAATCCACTACCTGCCCATATGCAGTTCATGGACTTTGGACTTAGAGACTTTAGGTACTCTTCTTTACAGTGGCTAACTCCTCTTTGCCTATTTAGAACCTCAAAATCTGCCATATCCTTAAACATTCTTGGCCTTTAGAGGCCTGCCCCGTTATATTACTGTCTATACCTAATGCTTGCTTTCTTTTAACTTTTATTTTTCACAGTGTTCTTAACAATCATTAAAAACTATAAACATTTCAATATACAAAAGAAAAAGCATTATATAATAAACAGTAAACTTCCATTACATACAGTTTGGGTATTTAAAATACATGTATATATGTAACATATTTATGATCTATATCTTTTGTGTATCTGTGATATATATGCATAAATATATAAATTTATATCAACCTATATGTAAAATGTAACAAGGTAGTAACAAAATTATTCCACTTGTTTATGTCCCCTTCTGAATTGTTTTTTTCTATACATTTCTAAAACTTCCTTATTACAGACCTCTAGTATGAAGCACTCTCCTGAACTCTTCCTAGATCTTTCTGACCTTAAAGCTGACCTGGCTGCATTGGTTCAAAGATCTATCCCACGTGAAACCTAATGACATACAGTATCCAGCTTCCTTTGGGTCCTATTTCTTGCATCCACTTTCCTTTGTCTCATCTAACTCCATTCTCCACACACTGCAGACCACAAAAGTGTATTTCATAGGGTTTCTTTATGAAGGAAAAAAGAATATACAAATTCAGAAATAATATATTAAGATAAGATACCAGATGCACATATAAAACAAATATACCTAGTCTTAGTCAAAGTGGCCCTAAACTTTACAAGATCATAGATTTAGAACTAGAAGGGACCTTGGTGGTCATCTGTTCCAACTTCCTCATTTTACAAATGGAGAAACTGAGGCCTACAGAGATTAGCTTGCATAGGGTCCACAAATAACAAATAGCAAAATTGATATTTGAAACTAGGTCATCAGATTTCTTACTCAGTGCCTTTTTCTCAATGAAGTCTATCCAGTTATAATTTTCCAGGCCAACCTTGTCTCATAATGATCTTCTCTTGTTGCAGAGTACTTCCTTTTTACTCTTCTTTCAGATTTATTTCTTGAGAAAAATGACACAGAGGGAAATTATATGTTCTGCTCCCACAATGTACATATGGCAATGGGGAGTGACAGGAGTGTGCTTGTGTGTCCATATTCTACATGTGGATGAATCTGGAAAAAAAAAGGAAAAATTCTGTGGGTTTTTTTTTTTAGGCAGTTGGGGTTAAGTGACTTGCCCAGGGTCACACAGCTAGTAAGTGTCAACTGGTCTAAGGCCGCATTTGAACTCAGGTCCTCCTGATTTCAGGGCCAGTGCTCTATCCACTGCACCACCTAGGAAAAGGAAAAATTCTGAAAGCAAATATATACCATTAGGTAAGTTAAACATTTTCCATAGGAAAGGATGTATCAGAAGCTACTTATGTCAACATGAGTCAGTAGCTCAAGTTTATCTCCGTGTCTTCAACCTGACACAAAAAGAATATTCAATATGTTGGAGTCAATGACTGTTTCGTCTTACCCTGAATTTCTGAAGTGAGACTATTTAAATGGATTTGTTATTTCCATCAATGAGAGCCTTCCCTTCATTGATTTAGATTGCAAGCTGTTCAGGCCCACACACAGTCCCACAGACTTGCTGTAGAACACTCCTGCACAACCTGAGGCCTGCGGGCCTCTACATTTTTGCAGGCCGTCCAAAATCCTTTGGCATGCCTCCAAGTGGCTCTCAGGCGAGTGCAGGTTGTGCAGACTTGCCATGGAGGATTTAGCTGGTATGCTGGAGGCCTTTCTTTAGGTCTTTTTTCTATTTGGTGCATAAGGATGGAATGCTTGGGCTGCCTAGAAGTGATCCCTCACTGTTGAAGGGAGAAACAAGTGACAATTAATCAAAGGATTGGGCCTGGAATCAGGAAGACTCATATCCCTGAATTCAAATCTGGCCTCAAACACTTACTAGCTGTGTGACCCTGCATCATTTAATCCTGTTTGCCTCAGTTTCCTCATCTATAAAATGAATTGGAGAAGGAAATGTCAAACTGCTTCAGTATCTCTGCTAAGAAAACTCCAAATGGGGTCACAAAGAGTTGGACATGACTGAAATAACTGAAGAACAACAATGGGACTTTAAAGGAGGATCACAAATATCACAGTTTCTTGTAGAAGACCGTTACAATTTTTGTTTCGGAGATTTTTGTGTCGTCAAACGCCTGAGTATATTAGGGAGGATTTTCTCACGTTTTTAGCTTGTAGCCCCAACCCAGGAAACCTGGGGAAATGTGAACCTGGGATTTTCCAGTACACCTAACCAATTCACACTTGTAAGCACAGAATCAATTAATCAACAAGCATTTATTAAGTGCCAGGTACCAAAGACACAAATGCAACAAGTGGAACAATTCCTATTCACGAGGAGATTATGTTCTAACAGGGAAGATAACAAGAATATACAAAAGTATGTCTAGAATAAATATGAAGAGAATAAATTCAAAGAAGTTAAATACATGGTGGTTTGGGAGGGAGGGCATTAGTAGTTTGGAGAATCAGGAAAAGTTTCATCTTGTATGAGGTGGTACTTGAGCAGCATCTTAAAAGAAGAGAGAGTTTCTGTGAGGCAGCAGTGAGGAAGGAGTGAATTGCAGACATGGGGAAAGGTCAATGCATGGAGATGGGAGATGTCATGTGTGATGAACAGGGAAAAGGCCAGTTTAGCTACAATACAATACAATAAAAGAATACAATAAAAGGAGTAATGTTCAAAGAGTCTAGCAAGATAGGTTGAGACCAGGTTGTAAAGGACTTTAAGAGCTAAACAAAGTAGTTTAGGTGTGAATTTAGAGGTATTATGGAGCCATTGGAATTGGTTCAGTAGGGGAGTGACATGTTAGGTAAATCACTTTGGCACAACAGGTAGGATGAACTGGAGTGGCAGAGATTCGAGGTAGGGAAACTAATTAGGAAGGGGGCTGTTGTGATAATCCAGGAGAGAGGTGATGAGCATCTGAATTAAGCTGGCAGCTGTGGGAGTAGAGAGAAGAGATCAGATGCAAGAGTTGTAGAGGTAGAAGTGGCAAGATTGATTGGATATGTGGGGTAAGTGTGAGGAGTTGAGGGTAATGCGAAAGTTATGAATCTGGGAGAATCAAAGGATGATGGTGCCTTTGACAGAAATAGAGAAGTTTGGAAGAGGGAAGGGTTTGGCAGAGAAGATAATCATGTCAGTTTTTAATGTGTTGGATTTGAGGTGTCTCTGTGACATGCAGTTTGAAATATCCAATAGGCAATTTGTGATGTGGGACTGAAACTCTGGGGAAAGACTAGAGTTGGAGATACAGATTTGTGAGTCATCTGCATAGAGAAGATAATTAATCCCACAAGAGCTGATGAGGTCACCAAGAAAGAGAATATAGAGAGAAATAAGTCAAGGACAAAACTTTCAGGAAAATCCACAGTTTAGGGGCACAATATGGATAATAAGCCAGCAAAGAAGACTGGAAAGAACCAGACAGGTAGGAGGAGAACCAGGAGGATGGAGTATTATAAAGACCCAGAGAGGAGAGGGAGATCAACAGTATCAAATTCAGCAAAGCAGTAGCGAAGGATGTGAGGACTGAGAAAAGACCATCAATTAAATATTGTTCATAAATTTAGAAAGAACAGTTTCAGTTGAGTGATGAGGTCAGATACCAGACTACAAAGGGTTGAGTAGTGAATTCAAAGAGAGGGAGTGAATATAGATAACTTTTTCTAGGAGTTGGGCTGAAAAAGGAAGAAGAGATAGAGGTCCAGTCCTCAAAGAGCTTATAGTCTGTGGAAGAAACATGTATATGTAAATATACACATATATGGATACATATATGTACATATAGGACATGAACAAAATAAATATCTTGAAGGGATAGTAGAGCCTAGTTAATATTTTTTAAGGATGAGACAAGCATGTTTGAAGGTAGAAGAGAAAGAATCAATAGATAAGGAGAGGTTGAAAAGTGAAGGAAGAGGTGCAGTTTGCAATCTGCTGGAGAAGACTGGAGGGAATGGAATCTAGACACACGTAAGAGAGGTTGGCCATAGTTCACAATATTATAGGGAAAAAAAGCCAATTTAAGTGAAGGAGTAAAGCAAACCAACAGATCAATGGTTGATCCCAGAGAAGAATGCAAATATCCAGAGTTACTTATAATCTCAAATAAAAGGAAGTGTCTGTCTGGAACTTAATACTCCTTCAACATCCCAAGTTCTTTCTTGGTCTTTATTTTCCTGTGATTGGAAGGGGAGGGCATGGTAGCTTCTCTGACTTCTTGCCATTCTGCATGGTCCTCCTAGCTCTGTGAAACGGCTAATTCATCTGCTGCTTTCTCAGTCAAGATGAGATTGGGCTAGGGGAAAATCAGTTGGTCAGGGGTTGTGATCAATGCCCTCTCCCAACTATACCGAATCAGAATCACATAATTTGAGAATTGGTAGAGACCTCATCAGCCAATAATCCAACCCTTACAACACAAAGGAATCTTCACTATAACATACCCAAAAGAGTTAACCAAGCTAGTGGCTTTGTGTATATGGAATGAAAGTGATGAATAAGAGAGATGTTCTCTCTCCTGGTGATCACATTAGCTCTCATGTTCAGCTGTTATCTCTATGCAAATGATGACCAGATTTATACTAGTCTCTTTTCTGAGCTTCAATTCAGCCTTTAGAATTTCCCACTGGACATTTAGAATTGGAAAACCCATAGGTATATCAAACTAAACATGTCAAAAAACTAAACTAATTCTTTCCCCATGAACCTTCCCCTCTCTTTTTAACTTTCTTCTTACTGTTGAGAGCACACATTCTCCCAGTCTCTGGGGTTTGCAACCTCAGTGTCCTCCTCAACCCCTCACTTTCATTCACCCCGCATATTTAATCCATAACCACAACAGGTATTTTCTACCTACATGTCTCTCTTCTAGGTCTCCTTCTCTCCAACTCATACACAGCCACCCTGCTAGTGAATCAGCTCTTTCCTGGACTACTGCATTCACTCTCCAATTGGTCTCCCTGCCTCAAGTCTTCCTCCACATAGCTGCCAAAGTGATGTTTCTATAGCATTAATCTGACCATGTGACACACTCCCCCTCTTCTACACAGTCTGTACACTCCAGTGATTCCCTATTACCGGTAGGATTAAATATACAGTCTTCTGTTTGATATTTAAGTCTCTTCACAGCTG